GCCCCGGTGGTGCTGCCGAGGGGAGCGCGTGGTCCGGGGGGATCCGTCGGGTGCGTGTCTGCGGGGAGGGCACGGTCCCGTTTTCCTCCGGATTCCTGGACGGGCCCCTGCGGTCTCTCCTTCTGGTTGCATCCCGAAACGGGGCCGATGCCTGACTGGTGTTCTTTCTATTTTCACAGAAATTGCTCCCTTCCCTTGCGACCTCTCTCGAGGACATCTTTACCCACTGGGAAAAGTAAGTCAGAGGAGGAAACGAGTGTCAAATAGATTCCACACTGTGCTAGCATCCAGGCTGCATGGCATGTGTGATCTTTATTTGCTAGAATTCCCTGTTGTCAGAGTATTTCCAATGGTAGCTGTGCTTAGCAGAATGTTCTCTGGTTTTAGGGCAATTAATTTCAAATGTTAAGGATTACTCTGGTTTCAGATTCCCTGAGCGTGGAGATTAGTTGTTACTTTTGTTTTGACCAGCTGATGCTGTTAGTGATGGTTAATACTGGAGAGTGAGAGTCGTGCTTTACTGACAAAAATCTGTTCCACAGTTATTTCACTTTCTTTTTAAAGCCCCGTGCTCTGCAGGAGTATTGACCCAAGAACAGAGGAGTTGAACAGATGCTGAAATGCCAAAGCTCTTACCAGGGACCTAAACCTTGGCATAAATGACAGATTTTCTGATTCAGAGGAAGTCTTTGGTTTCAGCCTGTCCTTTCAAGCCCTTACATGTTCCCAACACCTTCCTTCATCATTACTCCCCACGTGAAGGTCTGCAGCATGGAGCCTTCCCATCTGTGACATTTGCACCCACCCTGTGAATGCTTTGGTTTCTTGCTGGAGTGCAGGACTGGAGAAAGCCCTGTAGCAGCCTCAATGCTGGGTTTTCTGGGAATCCTTTGAGCTGGAAGTGCTGGAGTGAAGATACTTCTCAGCATGGCTGTGCCAGTAGCCTCAGGAGAGTCAGTGTTTGCTTACATGTTTTCTATTTGAACACTTTGTGCCTTGCTGCTGCCCTGGTCCTTGCTCTTGTGCTCCATACCTGAGAAGGAGAAAGGCTGTATCTAGATGAGGATGTGGCAGTGTAGAAATAGGCTTGGAGTTCCTCCCTCTAACAGTTTGTTGCTCTTGTGGGTGCTGATGGTGGCCTTTCCATGTGCCTGTTATCCTGGCTGCTACAGCAGACCCTCCCAGACACTGTTGCTTTTAAACCTGGGGAGGCAATCAGGTTTAATTCCTTTTTCTTTAGTGTTGCCCTTATGTTGTGGTTCCACCCCACAAGGACATCTGTTATTCCTGCTCTGACCAAGTTATGCCTGGTTTGGAGTCAAAAGGAGGGATGTGTTGACCAGTAGTTCTGTTTATCCAGAAGTTGTCCTGCCTAGCTGGAGTGCTCTCCTGTGAGTTGGCTGTGATTATCACATCTTATTGCTTCATAGGTTTTTGGCCTGAAAATGGCTCTCCTTAATGTGCCCTATGGCTCTTGTCCATCTCACCAAGGCTGTCCTTGGTGCTGTCCTGCAGAAACTCTTCCAAAGTGAACCTAACAGCTGAGTTACACGAGTAGCCACCCTTCAGAGCTGCATTTAGTCTTGGAGGATGCAGGGAGCAGGTGGAAGGGTGTCTGGGGGCAGGAGAAGGCTGGAGCAGCTCAGCTCTAGGAGCAACCAGAGCCCTGCAGCCCTCAGATGCTCTGGAATGCTGCAGGGACATAGGTTTTTTTCCTGCTTCCACAGTATCCCTGAGCTCCTGGGCACTCATAACAAGCTCTTGCAGTAGTCTGTGCTGTGCTGCCAGCTGCCCCTGGGTCGGGAAGGTGTTGCAGGATCACTGCTGCCTGTGTGTCCTGCCCTGCTGGTTTACTAAAAGGATTATTGGAGTAGTTACTAGGACTTTGTAATAGCAAATGTGCTTTTTGGCTTAGTCTGCTTGCATAGAACTTGCTGTTACAGAGCAGTCTCATAGTAAGCACAATCTTTACTCACCAAATTGTTAAACTAATCTTGTTTTTAAAACAGATGAACAAATAAAATGAGCTAAACTGGCAGAGAAGTGAGGATTTTTTTGCCTCTAATAATTGTATGTCTCCAGGCTTAGGAGCATTGCATGTGTGAATCACGGATGTGTGCCCAGCCAGTGTTGTCCTTGTAATAAAGCCACTGTGTTCTGTTTAATTTTCAAAATGAAAACATAGGTAACTTTGGCCACATCACCTATTCTGGTACCAGCAGAATTTAGAGCCTGGAGAAATCTTTCTCCAGCTTAATGTTTTAACCCAATTGAACAGCTTAAGTGTTTAATGCTTACCTGTGGCCTCATCCTCCCCCTTTTTCCAACACGTCTTCTGTAGGTCCAGCCACTTCTTTTCTTAAACCTTTCTGCAACCTGACTTTCCTGCCCTTTTGACCTGTAAGCCCAAGTTCAAATGGCTTTTGCAGCCTTTAGATTTACTTCTCCTGGCCTTGTGGAATACCAAGACCTGTTTGAGAATCACTGCCCTAACCCTGGGGCTGCATTTACTGGTTCTGTGGCTGTAGCTGCCTCCTGGAGATGGAATTTGTTCTGTAGGATGCCTTAGCTCTGTGTTGAGCACCAGCCTGACCATATATGTTTTTACTTCTCTGATAAAGTGAGAAAGAGTCTGCCTAGGACACAGAGAAAAAAGCTCTAGGTTCAGTATCTCCCCTGAGTGTTGCAGGAATGTGTTGCTCTCAGGTGTTTCCTGAGGACTGGAGGTATCGCATGCAGGTTAGGGAAGTATTTCTCCCACCTCTTTAGGAGCTGTAGAGAAATGACGCTGCCTGTCACTAGGCTGGAACCTGACAGTGAATGAATAACTGTATTCCAATTTGTTCAAGGTAATTTTCTCCATTTTGACACATTCTCTTCCCTCAGAACTCCCCCAAACTCCAAGAGAAGAAAGGTGAGTGATGAGGAGGCAGCCATCCCAGAAAAGATCAGAGTTCCTGATCCTGTGAGCAGCTCTGAGAGCTCAGAGAAAGAAGAGGATGAGAAAGAGAAGGCGAAAGCGGCAAATGGTAGGAGCCTTTCGTCTCCCTGGAGTTGATAGAGTAGGACTGGAGGCTTGTGTAGGAGCAGCTCAACTTGCTTGGCTAGGGAAAAATGCTTGTAAAGTGATGGCTATTCCCTTGTGTTCTTAGAAAAATAGGACAACTAATTTAGCACCCTCTTCTCTTCTCCTGTGGAGTTTCTGAAGGGCACAGATGTCTGCTGAAGCTAGAAAAAACCTGCTATGATTCACTGGGGAGGGATGGGTGTTGTTGCTTGGATGAAGCCTTGGGAACCTGTCATTGCCCTTTGTGGAGCACCTTCTAGTTGGTTCCAGGTGTGTTGGGCCAATAAAGGCAGGCCTGTTTCGTGGATGAAGGGAGGACTTGTTAGCTGGTCTGGAAAGCCAATGCCCTCTGTCTGAGGTGGGGATAGATCCCTGGAGCAGCTGATGTGGGAGATGTTTGCTTGCAAAGTCTAACAAAACCCCATGTGTCTGATATGTTTTGGCTCGGTCTTATCTGCTGTAGACCAGCCTTTGGAAACCTGCAGGTCTTGGCAGGTTCCCTGTCTTGGTGGTGGGGAGAAGGATGGAGTGGAGGAGCAAAGCACTTGCTTGTCACAGGGACAGCAGTGGCAGTGGTCTTGGGGCGGGTGTGGAGATGGGACTCTGCCCTGCTCTTGGGGCCTTCCTGCAAACCAGAGGTGTGAAAAACATGCTCACACAGCTGCTCTGTGGCTCTCTCCTGTGCAGCAGCCAGCCTGCCTCTGGCCACGAACTCAGGAGTGAATGTAGAAAGCAGTGAGGAGGATGACTCCTCGTCAGAAGAGGAAGCACCAGCTGGGAAAAGTGCAGTGACGGTAAGGCAATTCTCTTGGCTTCGGAGGACTGATGGTACTCTGAGGCCAGGACTGTCCCAGACTCATTGGCGTGGGTAGAATTGGGGGCTAGGGTGGAGTTCATATTTAAATGACCCTCCTATGCTGGCATAAGTCTTCTCTTAGATATCTGTCCCTCAAATGCTTCCTTAAAAAGTTCTGTGGGTTGCCTGGCTGCCAGATTGCTGTTGAAAGTACATTGTCTCCAATTTAGCCCCTCATCTGTGTGTAGGCTTCTAATGTTTTTGTTTCCTGTAGGTGACACCAGCTGTGGTGGGTGGCAAAGCTGCCAACTCCCTGCATTCTCCTTCCAAACCCCCTGCCCCAACAGGCAGGGCAGCAGTGGTCCCTGCTGCCAACAGAACTGTGCTCTCAAATAAGCAGCAGCCCAGTGCATCATCTGCAGCTCCGTCCAAGGGCCAGAAACTACCTGGTCCTGGGAAGCCTGGACATGCTGCAGCAGCCATGGCCAAAGTAGGTCAAAGCAAAGCACCAGTAACGACCAAAGCACCAGAAAGTTCCAGCAGCAGCAGCTCTTCATCAGAGAGCGAGGAGGAAAAGGAAATGCCGACTGCGAAGGCCCCAGCCCCCAAAGAGGGTAGGGAGCCTGTGGGGTGTGGTAAATGTGTGTGTGCTCCAGCTCTGCTGTGAATCAGATCTGGGATGTGCCTTCAGCATGTTCCTTTCAGCTTCCTTGCTGGAAAGCTCAGTGATGCTTGTTCCTTGGGGAGGCTGCTAGAGCACTGCAAAGCAGCCAGTGCCAGAGCTCCGTGGGATGAATCCAGCATGCTTGCTCCCATTTCAAGCAGCAGATCCTGTGCTAAGATGTCTGTCTGGCAGCAACCAGCACTTTGGGGCAGGGGATATCCGGGGGAGATGCAGTGCTAATGCTGCAGATACTTTCAGCTTTTTGGAAAGGCAGTGCTTCGTTTTCTCTTTATTCCCAATTGCAAAGTGATTAGTTTTGGATTTTGAAGTCGTTAGGGAAGTCTTTAAGTGCTTTGAAGTGTGTGTGTGTGTGTGTATGTGTTGGAGGAGGGGGGTGAGGAATAGATTGTAGAAGCTCTGAAAATGATCCTTCTCTTGGCTCTTTTCCAGAGAAGGCCCAGCCAGTCTGAGTGCTCTGCAGGGAGGTGTACGTGGCTGGGCAGCTCACTGTAGGGTCAGTGGGTGGCCAGGAACCATTTCCCATCTGCCTGCACTGAGGGAGTGGTGTTTGTGGGTCAGCATTTGTCTGGACAAGCTGTTCCCAACAGGCCACTGATGCTTTCAGCGAGGCTATGTCCTCTTCCCTGCAAATCCCTTTAGTCCTCTCTGTGGCTTGTTTTGTTTCCCTGACTTCAAAAGCCACATTAGCATCATGCTCTGGGGACTCAGAGCAGGCAGCAGCTGTGACATCTCCTCGCTTGTGTTTCAGAGCTGAAGCAGGCAGCCAGGGCTGCTGAGAGCAGCAGTGAGGAATCAAGTGATGAGACATCCTCTGAGGAGGAGCAGGCAGCTCCAGCCGTCCAGGTAACCTCTCCAACCTGGGTTGTCCCTAGGAAATCACTTCCCTTTGCTTGAAGAAGAGAGGAAATGCAGCAGTGTTGTATTCTGACAACACCCCTTACCTTGGGTGTGTGAGATCCCCAAGCCCAAGGCCAGAGAAACATGCCAAGTGGCTGAGAGCTGCACTAACCCCTGCCAGCATCAACCATTCCATCCCAGTTTCTACTAGTGCCTGAAGCTGAGAGAGATCCTTAGATCTGTAGGAGGTGATTGGTATGCAGTTCCACAGATGTGGTTGGGCAGTCTATGGACAAAGTGGCTTGCTTCAGATACTCCACAGCCATGGCTCTGAACAAGCCTGTCCTGGTCAAAGTTAGCAAGGCTGTTTGCTTCGAACAGTTAGAGCTTTCAGTTGTTTTCTTCTAGGGTGTTACCTGATTCTTCTGTTCCCTTTTGTTCCCCCTGTTCCCAGACAAAACCAGCTGTGAAAACAGTGCCGGTTGATGCAACACCTGTGAAAAGTGCACCTGCTACTTCAGTGTCCCTCAAGAAGAATGCAGTGAAGCAAACAGCACTGGCACCAAGCCAGACCAAACCTGCACCCACAACGGTTCCTGAGGCTGCACAGCCCAGTGACACATCAGAGAGCAGCGACTCATCAGACAGCGAAGTTGAGGTACATCCATCAGTAACCCAAGTGCATCTGTTTGAGATTCTCTCTCTCCTTGCATGCTTCTCAGGGCAAGGCATTGCAGTGAAGAGAAGGTTTTGTAAATGCACGTAGTGTGTCGCAAAGTCATGTTGGAGGTGGGAGGAAAGAGGCGTGGGGTGTTCCGAGGCACCTCAGTGTCTTTGCTCTGAGCTTTAATCAAGCCATTGTGCCTTTCTTTAAAAAAAATCCATCAGTACTTTTAAATTAAAAAAAGCAGTGCTTTTCCCACCTGAAGAGGCAAAATGTCATGGTGGAATTTGCCTCTCAGCTCTAAATTGCACTAAATAGTGTCTAATTTGTTGAACTGTAGTGCAGCTCAGCTTCCCTGCTGTGGAGAGTGCAAAGTGCTGCCATGTACCTCACTGGAGGGGACTGGTAGTATCAGCAGGCTAATGAAGAATGTCTGGTCTTGCTTTCTCATCTTGGGACACTATCCTCACACAGCTGGATGAAAGAATTCCTTGTGTCCTGCCAGTCACTAATCTTCCTTCAGCATTTGCCTTTCCCAGGGGGCCCTGAAATCTCTTCCCTTGATTACAGTCTGAGCAAATGAATTATGCTGCTGTGGGATTTGCCTTAATTCACTCTGTTCTTGCCTTGTCCAGACAAAGCCACCTCCGAAATGCCCCCAGTCCATCCCATCCCCAGTGAAACCTGCACCAGCAGCATCACTTTCCATCAAATCAACTCCAGCAAAATCACTTCCATTGTCCCAAGGGAAGCCAGCACCAAAAACAGCAGTGCCAAAGCAGGCCAAAGCCCCTCTGGGAAGGACTGCTGCTCCCACAAAGCCTGCTCAAAGTATAAAGTCAGCAGAGAGCTCTGACTCTTCAAGCAGTGAAGAGGAGGATCTGCCTGTGCCCATCAGCCAGAAGGTAAGTGATCTTCATTCAGCCCAGTGCCAAAGGATGGGGTATGCAACACACATGCTTAGCCCTTAAATGCTACTGCTGCTCTCCTTGAAAAACCAGGAGGTTGTTGTATCTCAGTCCCTCAGAGAGGAAGATCTTTCTACTGTACTGTGTGACAAGTGCAGCCTAACTCTTCTCACCCAGCTATAACAGAGGAAGGTGAGGGGATAACCTGTTTGATACCAGCTGTTCCACTCCACTTGTGCCTTGCCACTCTGGAGTGGGCCTTGTGTTCGGGGTCACAGGTAGCTTGGTCTTGGCTCCCCTGTGAGGATTTAGTTAGAGTTCTCTAACCGAAAGAGAAGGACCATGAGCTCAGACTGGACTCAGGTGGCTAAACTCGCAGGAAAGCAAATCCCTTCCTGAGAGTATCCTTAGGCACATTGTATTGAGACCTTCTGCATTGACTATAAGCTGAAGGGCCCTTCAGCAAGTGCCCTGAAAGCAGCATTTTGGAGATGCACCTATTATCTGCAAGGGAGGAAGGGAAGGTGGGGGCAGAGCCTCACGTGTCCTTGCAAGGAGGCTCTTTGTCAACACGTCCTTTCACTATTGACAGGCAGGAGTCAACAAGGCTCTGCATTTTTGTCTTCATAGCCTTGGTCTCCTAAAGTGGGTGGAGGGGGACGCATCTCTAGCAGTTGGCTCTGTGCTGCTCTCATCCTGCATGATTATATGTGAGGATTCAGCTCTGGGTGACAGGAGCAGCTATTCTGAGTGCCTTGAGGTCTGCTGTAAAACAATTGAGACTTGTCCATTCTAGCAGGGCTGGAGGAGAAGGATGTGCTGGGGTAGATTTGTTTTCCCCAGGGCTGATTTGAAGCTATCAGCAGCAAGTTTTACTTGCTGATTTAACCACTTCAGCATCTTCCCTTTTGCAGACTGTTTACCTCTCAACAGCCACAGTCAGCAAGGAAGAGCTTGTCATTGAGAGAGCTCTATTTTTGCCAAACAGGCTGTTTCTTCCCGTGTTAATAGCCTACAGGCAGAGACCACGAGTGAAGCCTGAAGATAAACCATTGGGCTTAGCTGTGTCCACAGTCCTGTCCTCCTAGTCAAACTCTTCTTAGCTCATCCTCACCATCTGCTACTTGGGCATATGCTAACCACTGACTTACTGTATCCTGCAACTTCCTCTGGCTTCTGTGCAAGATCCAAACAGATACAGAGCGTTGGAAGCTGCTTCATCTTTCCCTGTGGGGGTGGATTAGCACAATTAAAATGAACATCATGCCTAAATTGAACTGCTTAATTGGTATGTTTATCCATGAAGACTCAGGAATATTTAGTCAAAGAAGTTGACAAGGTGTTTGCATATTTTTGGGGGGAAGGATAGTGATGAGGGACAGTCTGGATTGACCTTCAAGATGCTGTGAGCAGCTTTTCTGTTGGAACTGCCGATTCTGCTCTGCTTTGTCTTTCCTGGACATTTTGGGCCAAAGGTGGCATTTGAGCACTCTATGGACAGGCTTTGGCTTCTGCATGCAAGAAGTGGGTGTGAGATGCACGTGCATGGTGCATGTGTGTGTTGGGAACCCGTGCCTTTCTTGAGCATCCCAGGAAAACCCATGTGGGCTGCACTGGCAGAAGTTGTGCTGGCAACTTTTTCTCGTGGACCACAGGCCCTGTGGGGAGAGGCCAAATCTCCTGAGACAGAGGGTGTCTTCCCCTCCCTGAATCCTATTCCCACTCCTGTGCAGGTGACAGTTGTACCTTTGCTGGGCCATGATACGGTGATTTGCTGGGCCCAGATACGCCGGCGGTGATTCCGCGGTACACAGGCAGCGATGGAGTGTGATTGTACAACGTGCTGGGCGCACGTGGCTCAGTGTTGTTCCCCCTCTTGTCATGCAGCACTGCATGATGCAAATGGACCCAGCGAGTGGCAGATGGGTTGTGCAGGAGCTGAGTCATCACACTCGTACTGAGCCGCAGGCAGCTCCTGCTTTGGGGGCTGGAGAGAGCAGGAAAAATGATTTCCTCTTGAGTTATTTTCCTCCTCTCCGAGTTACTTCAGTACCTGTGACTCTCAAGCTGCCAGAAGCTCTCTGCCTGTGTTACCTGCTCCCTGTGTTTAACTCAGCTGTGCTGCTGGTCTGATCCCACCTGCAGCTGTCATCCATCTGATGTGGATGGAAGGACCTTGGCCTCCTCCCAGGAAGATCTGAGGAGTCCCCAGGCTGTGTAAACCTTATGGTGGTTTCTCTGTGGATGCTGTTATGTTCTTTCTGTGTCGGGATGCTCCTGCATGGCAGCTCTTCCCCACTCCATTGCTAAGTTAGGAAATCAAGCAGCTCTGTGCTGTGCATGTGTATAGGGGGAGAAGCCAGTCCAATTGTTATGAAGGGTCTATAACTGAGTGAGTGGGCTTTGATCTTGGTAAGCTCTTCCCTGCTTGGGACAGCAGGGAATGGAGCTAGCACATTCAGAGAAGTGTATGTGAGTTCTTCTATGTGCTTCAAGTAGTTCTCTCCCTTCAGCATTGCAAATCTGGCCTCTCTCCTGGAGATTGTGACTCACTGGTATCAAAACAAAACAGAGAAGTGAGGTTTGCAGTCCCCCTCCCCAAGCACTATTGGAGGTTTCTGTTTCTCTAAGCAGAGTCAAAATGTGCTTGGCTTGTTCATAGAGCTGTTCTGTAATGGGATAAACATGCAGATGCTGTTGTCTGTTTAGTGTTTGGCTTGGAGAAGGTAAACACTGCCCCAGTGGCAGTCTGTGCCAGGGCTGTGCCAGGAAGCACAGTAAGATGGGAAGCTGCTAGGCTGGTGCTCTCAACTGCTGGCCAGGAGCAGCCCCAAGTGAGCTGGCACTGCTGGAGTCCTCCTGGTCCTCTGCTGTGGGCTGGGAGGATATTACTGCGTTGACAGCATGGCAGGGTTAGCAGTGGGGGTGGCAGGGGTGGTACAGCCAGGCAGGAATCTCTCACGTTCTTGCAGAGGCTTAGAGACTGAGTGCCAAAGTTGCTGTCACGTGTGGACTGGACAGGGTCTGCCTGCCCTGGCAAGCATGATGGACTCTTTGGCAGAGCAGCCCGGAGATGAGCCATGAGTGGAGTAAACTGAGTGGGTGCAGAGCACTGTGAGCCTGGGGAATATCTGCAGGGGGTGAAGTTCCCAGATCTCTCTGCAAGCACTCCTCTCTCTCTGCCACTGCTAGCCTTCAGTGTGCAGGACAGTGATCTGCAGCCCTCAGCCCAAGGTGGTAGAGGGACCAGGAAAAGAGAGAGTCTCACCTGACAGTTGTGCATCTGGGGCTGAGATGACTGTGGCTTTGTAGTACTGACACAGCAGTTACTTGAGGAAGTGGCATGTGGCCTGTCCTGGGACATCAGTGTTAACAGGTGCTTTAGAAAGGCACAGCCCAAGTGAGTGTCAGAGGTTTTTTGTTGTCTGGAGATTTCTAAATTCTTAGACCTGTTGAAATGTCAGTTTCCAATGTGAGTCCCACTCTATCTGCCTGCCCTCTGTGTTCCCAAACCCTTGTGTCAGCCTTGTGTCTACACTGAGCTCTCCAGCAGCCCTACGATGTAGTTGCTGTGATAATGTATCTGAATCTTGTGTTTTGGCAAAAGGCTTCCCAGCTCCTACTGATTCCCTGAGCTGGGGGGAGGTTGTGCTTAAATGAGAGGCTTCCTTGGATATGGGGTCTTGGGGTTGCTTCTCCTGCCCTCAGGGTCCTGTCCATCCAATGTCTCTGCCTCAAGAAGGAACTGCTGTTATGAGCTTATAAGTGCTGTTAGCCTGTTTGCTCGTGCAGTAAAATACACAGGTTTCCTGTCAGAAGCATATTGCTAAATCCAGAGGTACATGTCTACAGCAGCTCAGTCCAGGCAGTGACTGAAGCCCTTACCACTCTTGACACACCAAGGATGGAGTGAATGTTGGGGTAAAACAAAACCCAGCTTGAGCTGAAACTGCACTTAAACTTCTAAACAACACCTGTACTAATACTGCATTTTTGGGCCTGTGTTTCTTTTTTGTTAAGAGGTTATCAGAACAATCTGAGCCTGTTCCCAGCCTGAGCCAGGCTGCTAAAGCTGGGCCACCTGAAAAAGCAGTGGGAAGCACCTTGAATAGCAAGGTCTCAGAAAGTGAAAGCACATCTGACAGCGAAGAGGAGTCCCCTGCGGCACAGAAACAGCCCCCACAAGCTGGTAAGTCTCCTGGTAGTAGCCAGGATCCCTCACCTGCATCCTCATGGGTTTCTTCCTCTCTCCTGCATATGAAACAGCCCAGCCTGTTGTGGTAGCTCCTGCTCTGGACAGCCACATAGAGCAACTCTCTCTCATTGTGACAATCTCTTATGCTTTTCCTGCAGTGAAAACCAATTCTGTGTCCCAGCCAGCACCTGTGAAGAAGGCATTGGCTTTTGCACCAGCCACAGTCCCTCCACCTGTGGCCAACAGTGATGATTCCAGTGAGGAGTCTGATTCAGAGGAGGAAATAGTGCCCCCTTCTCAGGTGAGGAGCCACTGACCTGCTGATTGTTAGTTCTGCATGCTCAGGAGCTCTCAGGAGTCGGAGGGTGGTAGTTGGACAGGTGATGAGCAGTGCAGAGAACCTGTTGACTGGTTCAGGTTTTCTTGGCAGCATCCATGGATCTCACTGTCCTCAGCTCATGTCTCTGGTGCATGTCTCTGGTGCATGTCTCAGCCACAGCAAGCTTGCAGTGTGTGAGAGCTGGAGAGGGTGGGAATGCTTTGGCAGAAACTGGAGTAGACACACGTGCCCAGAACTCCTTGAGGACTCTGTCCCCTCTGCTCTACTTCAGGGAGTTAGACTGGAAAATCAGCCAAATCCTTACAGGCAGTCTTTCCATGAGCTGTGTAGCTCCAAGGCAACCCATTCCCCTGGTTCTTCCCAAACCCCTGGGTGGGAGTTGCAGCTAGAACTCTCTGGTCTCCTCTTCCACAAGCCTTGAGAGGATAGAAAATTCTGCCTTGAAGGGTAGCACACTGGTTCTACTGCCTTTCAGCTGGAGGAGCCAGACCCCTGCCTTGGAGAAGGGAGGTGACTCCGTATCTGTGCTGAGGGCACTGCTGAATGTTCTGGAGCCAATTCCAGCTCTCCCACTGGAGTCTCTTCATGTCTCCATGCCAGTCCCACAGGGCCGTGGCCGAGCTCCCTGGGGCGTGAGCTGCCTCTGTGTGAAGCTGTTTTGGGGGTATTTGCACCTCTGCTGCAGTTTGAGCCTAAGAAACTACATGAAGAAGCACTGAGAAACTTGGCTACCATTTCTACATGGTGGTGGCTGGGCTGGTGCTCTGGGCCCAGGGCTTGGTGGCCAAGTGTTCTTCTTACCCCACACAATGCCCCATGCCCTGCCTGGCCCAGGGGCATTATGTGCACTCAGGAAACCTTTCCCCGTGTTGGCCTAATGCTGTGGCCATGGAAAGGGCTGTCTCCCCCCAGCTGGTGGGCAGGCAGCCAGTCGTTGAGTAAAGCATGTTTATAGTACTAAGCTGTATAAAATAATGCAGTTGCTGTAACTTGAGCTTTGTGCAGGAGGGCTGAGAACTCGCGGGATTGGCGGCTCTGCATGGCAGAGCGTTGCCTTTTCCTTTCTGATGGCCAGATGTTGTGTGAGGGAAATGTCAGCCCACAAAGGCCCAACTTGTCAGAGATCTGGGGAGAGAGAGCTGCTCACGTAGCCTCAAACACAAACCAGGAGGCTGAGTGCTCCCTCCTCTGCTGGCATTTGTGTCTTGGACCTGTCGTCAGTGCCTGATTTCCATTCCCTTGGCCCTTCTATTTTTAACCCCTCTTATGTTAAGTTTGATGGGAGGTTTCAAATGTAAGGCAACAAAATTGCTTCTCATTAGTTTGCTCCCTCGTCTGTTGCTGGCTCATGGACCTGGAGGCAGATTTGCCCTGTGGTGGGTCTCTTTGCTTTTTTTCTGTTGCCAGTTAATTCTTGGTATGTGATTTTTAGGGTGTAGGAGACATCCTGGAGTCCAGGTGCCTGCTCTGCTAAGTCAGGTTTGCAACTGCAGTCTTGCTGGTGCTGCAGTGGGTAGGGATTCACAGCCTGCAAGCACAGCACATTTTGCCTGCCTGCCCTCAGGGTGGGTGTGTTTGGGGCACTGAGCTAATGCTTTTGGCACTCTGGGGTACTGGCCCTTACTTCTCTGCTCCTGGCTGTGCCAGAGGCCTTGCTCAGAGGCTCATGGGAGACAGAGCTGGTCTGTAAAGGAGAGAAATAAGAAACAAAAAGCCTTAGTGCTGTGCTGAAAATGATGGAGAGGCTCAGGAGTTAGTGCTGTATTGGTGGATGCTTCTCTATCTTTTCCCTCCAAGTCATGCTCTGTCCTGATTTTCTTTCTCATCTGTTTTAGAGTCTGTCCCAGCAGAACGTCAAAGTAACCACAGTTACAAGTGCAGTGGCTGCAAAGGCTAATGCCACCCTGCCTTCTGGGAAGAGGGTAAAAGCTCCTGCTGTCCCTCCAATGAACACAGTGTCTGAGAGCTCAAGCAGCGATTCCTCAGAGGACGACGTGGTGGAAGGAAAGGTAATGATGGAGGAGACTAAGGTGGGGAACTTCCCTGGGGAGAGAGAGAAGATTAGTCTGCTGGGATCTGAGGCTGATGCCATGTCCTCAGCTGAGAGATTGTGTTTGTGGAAGAGGGAAAGAAGGGGCTTCTCTATCCTAACCACTGTTACATCATGAGGTGAGGCAGAGGAGCAGAGTGTAGCCCTGGCACCATCGCTGTCCTGTCTCCCAGCTGGCTGACTGGTTTCTTCCTTCCTTTGTGATACCAGTTGTCTGCTTGGCCACAGTTGCCCACTTGACCTGTGGGCCAGGGGGAGCTGGAGTCTCTGTGCCCACATGAGAGGTTCTTAGGCTAACCTTGACACAATCTAGAGCAGTATGGCTGAAGAAAGGCCAAGGTGGTCCAAGCCCATCTACTCTGGGCTGTTGCTTATAGTTCATGGACATGAGTAGTTAGTTATTCCTACATCTGGGTCTATTTCATCTTCTTCTCCCTAGTCTTCCACTGCTTCTACCCTAAAGCAAACGGTTCCTGTGGGAAAAACTCCAGCCACCACTGCCACCCTGCAGGCTGCTTCACTCCTGGGAAGTTCCACTGCCAAGGCAAAGAAGCCAGACCTGCAGCCAGTGGAGGACACCCAGCTGAACAAGGCCGTGCCGCCCACCCAAGCAGAGAACACCTCAGACAGCAGCAGCTCCTCCGACAGCGACGAGGAGGAGACATCCAAGCAGCCTCACAAACCTGGTCAGTTCTCTCAAGAAGATGCTCTCAGTGCTGCCAGGGTGGGGACAGCATGTTTTTACCCATTGGGAGGCGTGTAATGTTGCAGAAGGCCTTTTTTGGTGGCAGTACCTGTGCTGGGTAGGTGAGCCTAACCTCAGGCAGCAGTGGTGTGTTTAACAGGAGGAACTCTCCTCTTCCAGCAGGCTCACTGCAGAAACCAGGAGAGACCCAGCCAGCCCACAGCTCCTCAGAGTCCAGTGAAGAGGAGGAGGAGGAGGCAGCATCACAGGTATGGTACCTGAGCAGGCTGGGATCCTCCCAGTCATTGCGGCTGGCTCCTAAGTAGGACTGAGAGAGAACTCAATTCTCAGCCACAGCAGAGGGGTGCTGGGTGGGTTTGCCAGCAGAGAAGTGAGAGCTCCTCAGTGAAGTGGTGTGAGCAGGACCTTCTGGTCAGGGCAGACAGAAACTTTTGGGGTTGTGGTGCCTTCCCTGGGAGAAGGGACAGGAGGAGGTGGTACCTTGCAAGGGTTAAACCAGAAGTGATGCACAGTGCCAAGAGCAGCAGGGATTTTTTTCCACACTTTTATTTGTAACTTAACCCATGTCCAAGCCATTAAATTCCCTTTGTAAGTAACGTGCAGGGCGTGCAGCACATCTGCAGTGCATTAGCTGTGCGTGAGTGCACGCTAATGGCCTGGAGCCTTCCCCAAGCCTGCCTTGCTGGGCGAGAACAAAGAGGAGAACCTCTGGCCATCAGCTCTTGTAGCTGTCAACTCAGCCAGTGTCTGTCAGTGCTGGCCCCTCTCCTGGTAGCCCTGAGTTCTGCAGAGTTGGCTCTGTGGGTGGCCAAAGGTGGGCCCTTCACTTGGAGTATGAGAACAATAGCAGAGACAGAGCTACGTGTCTGATGTGGTGGAGGCTGCCCTGCTGTGACTCCTCAGTGTGTCTGTTTCAGTCTCTCCTCACAGGCTATCCGGGCCTCTCCAAGACCCCAGCAGCACCCCAGGCACCAAAGACAGTTCCCTCCCAGCCTGCAGGCCAAATGGGGCCAGGGAAGGCAACCGTTACTGCTACTAACTCTCACGCCAAGTCCCTCCTGAAAGCAGCCCCAGCCAACAGCTCCAGCAGCGACAGCAGTGACTCTGACACAGATGACAAGCAGGTGGCTGCAAACCACAAAGCAGGTGGGTCTTGTTTGGCAAGGTTGGGAGTTTGCTTGGCCCAGGAGCAAAGCCTTGCTGGCACCCGAGGGTGTCACTGGGACGGGCCGTGTTCCCAGTGTGTCTCCACCACGGAGCCCGGCAGCATGGAGTGCTGCTGCCGTCTGCTGGCTTCCCCTGGCCATGGCACAGCCCTCTCCCTGTGAACACCCCTGTGTGCTGGCTGCCTGCAAGGTACTCAGTGCCTTCGCCTCTTCCAAGCTCTGCATTAACCACAGTAATTAATGGGAACAGGTAGGGCTCTCCCTGGACCTGATGCATGCTGCACTGGTGTGCTGCAGTAGTGATGGTTTCTGTGGAAGGTTGAAACAGTGGCTGAAGAACATCTGCTATAGTGCTGGTATTTTAGCCTCCCCTTGGGCTCTGTGGGCCCTGTAGCATGTCTGGAGTGCAGAGGAGGGGAAGCAAGTGAGAAGACCTGTGGAGAAAGGAAATGACCCACCATTTCCCTGTTTTGCTGGCAATTTGTAAAATTTGGAGCTGGAAGCTGCTTCTGCTCTGGCATCTTCAGATGAGCTCTGGTCTGACAGTGAGCTCTGGCCCAGTCTAGAGGATCAAATGGGTCTGTTGACCCTTGGGCACATCATTAAGTTGTGCAAACGGTTGTTGAGGAGGCCCGAACTATATATAGGCTCAAGAAGTTTCAGGTGCTCTAGGGTCGACTATTGGTGGTATTAGACATTGGCTGTGTGTGACCCCCACCACCTTGGGAATTCCTGACTCACTGGGGATGATGTTCTGGGGAAGGATTGCTCTATCTGTGCACACAGCCAAAGCTGTTGTGGCTGTCGTTATCCACTTCCCTCACCACATACTTGATCTCAGGCTGAGGCATCTTTCTCTGACTCTGCTATAGATGGCCAACAGGTTTATTTTTTTGGGAGAAGAACTGCATGCTCCTCCTCAAATGCATATTTCCATCCTCTGTGACTGTGGTCTATGTAGTGAATGCTCCCTGAGTTGTCTTCTCTCTCTTGTAACTGTTTCTACAGAAAACAACCCCCCTCCAGGGACAGAAGCCACAAAAGCTACCAACAAAGAGAAGGCAGGAGGAAAAACAGAGTTAGGTCATGCCAGCCCCAAACCTTCCCCACTCAAGAAAGCCCTGGCAGTGAACGAGAATGATGTTGGTGCAAAAGAGGTGCAAGTGACGCCAGCATTGTCACATGCCCTGCCCTCCGTCCCACAGTCAGAGGACTTGAGCTCAGGGAGCGAAACCGAGGTCACCACTGCTGCCAAAGTCCCTCCAGTGCAGACAGTGGAAGGGTTGGAAGCAAAGAAGAAGAAGAAGCAGAAAAAGGAGAAGAAAGAAAAGAAGGAAAAAAAGAAACCGTCCTCCATGGCAGACAAGGCTGTGAAAACGTCGAAGAGCAAAGACAAAGAGAACAAGAAGCAGAAAACGTCTCGGAAGCGGAAACTGATGGGAGAGGATGGGGCTGTGGCGCAGCCCAAGGAGAAGAAACAGAAAGGGCAAGCTAATGAAGATGTGCCCAAAAAGAAAAAGAAGAAAGCAGATGGTGACGTGGAAAAGATGGCAGACAGCAAGGAAAAGAAAAAAACAGCTAAAAGTAAGTGTCCTGCAGTTGGGACTGTTCGCAGTAGGTTCTTGCAGCTGATGCACGTTCAGCCTCTGACATGGGGCCTTCTGAGTAGCACCCACTTTTCCATTGACTGCCTGCTTGGCTGCTTCCCTCTTAAAGTCATTTGGGTTGGGAAAGACCTCTAAGATCATGGCGTCCGACTCTTAACCCAGCACTGCCAAGCCCACCCCCAAACCATGTCCCCAGGTGTCATATCTGCACATTTTTTAAATACCTCCAAGGGTGCTGAGCCTGTCACTGCCCTGGGCAGTCTGTATTAGCATTCAACAACTCTTTCAGTGAAGAAACTTTTCATAACATACAATCTAAATCTCCCCTGGCACACCATGAGCCCATTTGCTCATGCCCTGGCACTTGTTACCTGGCAGAAGAGACCAGCCCCCACCTGGCTAAGGCCTCCTTTCAGGGAGTTGTAGAGAGCAAGAAGGTGCCCCCTGAGCCTCCTTTTATCCAGGCTGTGCCCCCCCAGTTCCTTCAGCTGTTCCTTGTCAGACTTGTGCTCCAGACTGTTGCCTTTCTCTGGACATGCTCCAACTCCTCAATGCCCTCCTTGTTGTGAGGGGCCCAGAACTGAACACAGCACCCGAGGTGTGGCCTCTCCAGTGCTGAATACAGGGGATGATCACTGCCATCTCTGGACATGCTCCAACTCCTCAATGCCCTCCTTGTTGTGAGGGGCCCAGAACTGAACACAGCACCCGAGGTGTGGCCTCTCCAGTGCTGAATACAGGGGATGATCACTGCCATGGTGCTGCTGGCCACACTATTTCTGATACAAGCCAGGATGCCATTGGCCTTCTTGGCCACCTGGGCACGCTCCTGGCTCATGTTCAGATGCTGTCGACCAGCACCCCCAGGTGCAGCTTTCCAGCCACTGCCAGAATTTAATACCCATTCCAGTGGTTTTCTGCAGTCTCAGCTCCATGCTGGGTTTCAGACAGCAAGCTGGGCTCTCCTGCCCCTCAGTCCTGTGTCCAGCACATTGGGAATTGCTTTAATACTTGCACTGATCCTTGCTGTTTGTGGATCTTCCCCTTGCTGCCAGCCCCTTTAAGACAGATCAACCTTGAAATCTGCACCGTCATCTGCAGTGTGGCTGTTCCCCGAGGGAAGAGTGCCCCTTCCCAGCCCTGCCTGATCAGTGTCTGCTGCAACATAGGCAGCAGCTCATTCAAGAGATGTGACTCAGGGCTGTTGCTGCTGCTCTCAAACCCCTGTAGAAAGAGAAGGATGGTTCCAGTTAAGGGTGTTTGCTGCCCCTCTTGCCTGCATTGCCTCTAGTGCCCTGCTCACTGCCCTGATCCAAAGGCCATTTTATTCTTTGCAGTGCAGTCTGCATTTGCAAATCAGAGTTGGTCTGTGCTCAATTTTGCAGTTTACAAAAAAAGGAAAGGGGAGATGAGTTGGCTAGGCCAGGTCTGCTTAATTTTGGAGGAGACAAATTTGTCTGTTGGCCCTTGTGTGAGCTGTTGCACAGGGCTGAGCTGGAGCCTCTTGGAGCAGTTGTGCTGGGCAGAACCTCGTGTCCATCCTGTGTTAGCAGCTCCTCTTGCTCTCATTTCTGGCGTGTGTCCAGCTACTCCAGCCCTGACACGGTTCCTTGGAGCAGGTGGGCATCGGGAGGTGGAAAGAAGGGAATCCTATGTAATTCCACCCACAAGTGTGCACAGATGGTAGGATCTAAGTGCTCTGGGAGGTACTGAAGAAACATCCCTGGGTGCAGCTGCCTGTAGCAGGACTCTGCCCTCACCCAGTTCCTGCTCTGGAAACTTGCTCAGGTTTGGGTTTGATCAAAAAACTGACTGGAGGTGCTCCTATCAGTCTGTGCTCCCTCTCAGAGGCTGACAATACCAGAGTTCCTCTCCTAGTTGTTTTTTCTTTCCCTCTCCCAGAAAAGAAGACCGGAAAAGAAAAGAAAAAGAGCAAAAAGGAATCTTCAGAAGGGAATCCTGTAGCAGATGGCTCTGCTGAGGTTCACAAGAAAAAGAAGAAGGTATGTGCCAGACCCTGGGCTGAGATACTCTGGGGAGAGCTGTTCTGAGCCACAGCTGTGGTGCTCATCCCGGTAGTTTGCCAGGCTGGAGAGAAACAGAGACATGTCCTGGTCTTGCCCGTAGTACAGGAGAGGCTGCAGTTCACTGTGGCCAGGCTTGAGACACCCTGACCATTGGTTGGGATTAAGGTGGCTCAAAGAAGGCCTTGTTCCTGTATTGCTACCCCAGGAGAGATCCTTACCCTGGAGGGGTCAAACCCAGGGGCCTTTTTTGTGGCAGAGAGCCTGTCCGAGTGCTGCTCTTCAGCTATCTGTTCATCTCTTGTTCTCAGCAGAAACTGGAGCTCCTGAGGGTTTGGCAGGCTACTGCACTCCATCCCAAGGGCTCAAAGCAGTGCAGAAGAGACTACAGGATGTTCTTTGCGGTGGCTACCACCTCTACAGGGACATATCCAGGAAGCCTCTGTGGCTTTGCTGGATCCTTCATGTTTGTGGTGCAGATTATTCTGATTTATTTTTCCTCCTTTTCTTTTTAGAGGAAGAAAGCATCTGAGTCTGAAGGATTGTGAGAAGGTACATGGCCTGTGGGGACTATCCATTGGTCCCTCTGAGCGGTGGTATCCTTGGCCAAGTTCAGAACTCCTGGGCCAGTTTTGGGAAGACAGTGTGCCGTCTAAGTGCTCACTGAGCCAGCCTGGCCTTAGATTAGAGGGCCAGGGAGTGGAGCGGTGTGAGGAATGTCATGCAGCTGTGTGCTGGCTTCTGGATGTGTCTGACCTCAACTCTTTAGCTGCTGAGAACTGGATGTCCAGCCTGGATGTTTCTGACTTCTGTCACCCACCAACAGAGATGAGCGGCCTCTGGCAGTGTCTGTCTGTCCCTGCTGACCACAGGGAGCTTGGAAAAGAGATGGTGATGTTGTAGCCACCTCAAAGAGAACCAGATGCCTCTGTCCATGCTCTGCTCAGCTGTAAGGCTGTTCTCCTTCTCCCCATCCCTAACTCTTTTAACTCCTCTCCCCAAAGGTACCGCATTCCTGTGATTAAGGATTTATGGGTGAAGATCAAAGAGAAGAGAGAAAAGGAAGCTCATCAGGAGAATTCCAGCTTTTTTTTTTTAAATAATAATTTATAACTTCTTTTAACTGTGACTTTTAGAGCAGAGCAGTGTAACTTTCTGCCTCCTCCTGCCCTGCTGGGGCCCAGAGATGTGTTTATTGTCCCTCCTGATGGAACAGAACTGAAGGAGGCAGTTTGAGCAGAGCATAAGCTGCTTTCCTTCTCGTTGACACCCAGCCATCCCTTTCTCTTATCACAGAGCTATATTTTTAAGAGAAACTTTTATGTTTTTTTCCTTCCTCCTTTTGTGACTTGTGGTGTCAGTCCTTTTGCTACTACAGAAGAGAGCTCTCGGGTTTCCTTCCTATTCTAACACTGACAGCAGTGATTCTCGTGTCCCTGGAGTTGCACTGAACAGCTGTGTCCAGCAGCTGTTCTCGGCCAAGGTGGCGTCACTTTTTGTGGGTTTTTTTATGGAATATAAAATAAAAAATAAGAACGGTGAGACTTTGCTTCAGCTGCTTTCCAGGAAAAGGAGGTGACCAGGACTGGCTGGCTCAGGAGGATGTTGGGGTCGGAGAGCAGAGCCCAGTGTCTGCCTGGGTTCACAGGCTTTGTTTCAGCCTCTGGGGAAAGGCTAACTGTTTTCTTCCAGCCTCCTGAGGCAGGCTGGGATCTAGGAGGTGAGGAAAAAGGGACCAGATCCCCTAGTGCTCCTCCCTGCCATGCCCAGCAGTGCAGCCTGGCTCTGTGGGTGAGGGCAGAGCTCTCCAGCTGCAGGAGGGAGATGGTTGCTGCACAGGGGGCTGTTCCCTTCTCCCCCCACACACTGCAACTCACTGCAAGGAGACTTCAGCCTCCTGGGCCATGATGGGGGCAGGGGGACCCCAGGGTGCACAGCAAAGCAAACAAGGGATGGGCCAGGAATGGGGCAAGGAACATGAATGATCCTGGGTGGGGGCACAGCAGATCTCCAAGTGTGCAGAGATTTTTCTTTTTCCCTTTTTTGTTAGATTCATTTATTCTTAACCTAGGACAGATACAAACTGCAAGCACAACCCTGCTAGAGTTGCTTACAAGGCTTTCTTATTCAAAAGTTTATTTGACATAATTAGCTTGTGAGATCGTTTATAAAGGAACAATCATATTCAGGAAAACTAGAAGCCCCTCTGCCCCCAGTTACCCACTGCTGCGGCTGTAGGCGAATCACTTATCTACAAATCGAAGCACTCCACAATAAAAACCCACCACTCCAGTAATCTAACAGGGCTCCAGCCTACAGGGATCAGTTAAGTAGCTGGTGGAGGTTGTTTTGCTGCTTTTAATGTTTATTCAGTCTAAAGAAGCATTAGTTCTTCAGCAGGGGTAAGCTCTGCTGCTGCCTGGCTGCTGCAGGATGCCACAGGGAACTGGATTTATAGATCTTAGGTGGTTAAAATAACTTTTCATCCTGCTTTACCCACCCTTTGTGGGGGCACTTTGACTCTAGCACTGATGGTGGTGGCAGCTCAGCCCTGGCTGGTACCTTGCAGCAGGGGAAGGGTTACAGTCAATGCCTGGAGGGGTGGGCAGGGGTGCCTACTGTTTACTTTGGAAAAGCAATGTTAGAGCAGGAAAGAAATAGAGGGGAGGAAAAAAAAGGACAGAAGCGAAGATGCTGGAGGCAACTGCTTGCATCCTCTTCTACTCTACTGTGGAAGAAAAAAAGGAGGTAGTCGGTAAGAAAGCTCAAGGACTTCCCCAAACCTGTCTCCATCACAACCTCCCCCTCCCCAAGAGTGCTTTGGTGCTCCCCCAGCCCCCAGGACTTTTGTCTTCCCAGTCCCAGACTGGACTTGGGCACTCACCTGTCTCTGCATTCACTTAGCCAGGTCCACCCCGGAGAAGATCATCTCGT